CTCTTTCTCCTACTACTTCTCAGACTAATTTGTCTCTGCTCCCTCTTCTGGCTCCTCTTTATTCTGCTCCGTAAATGTGGCCTTTGAGGTTATGTCCTATTATTGTCCTTCTCTCTACTCTTTCTCAATGCCGTTCACTCTTACAGAGCTATCAGTTTCTTGCCGTTTACTACCAAACCCTTGGGGATCAGGCAGACCTCACCAAACACCACACGTTTCCCCGGAAAGGGCCACTCACCGCCAGGCATGCCCCGAGGGCCCGTCGGTAGGAAGTCCTGGCATTTCTGACTCCTTCTTGCAGAGGTCGTGCTAGGTGGGCAAAGCACTGGTCAATGGCCTTCTCCAGCAGCTGTATCTTCTCTTCCACAAATCGCCGCAGGCCGCTCATGTGCAAGTATTCATTCTAGGGACAGAACCATAAGGAGCATGAGGCCACCTACCTCCTCCCTAAAGGCACTTTCTCCTCAAACTTTGCTTCCTTTAACTTTGATTTAGCCTGAGCTAATCACTAACAATTGACTTCTCCCGTCATCCCAATAAGGTATCCCTCAGTACACGAAACTACTTAAGCTCTGTGGGATTGGTATACAATCTATCAGGCTATTTGGGGGAATAACAATCCAAATAAAAAATCCAATTGTTACTAAAAGAGATTTTCCCAATGACATCTGATTCAACATTTCACGTGCCTTGACTGTGCACAAAGCAGGTTTTGAGGCTAGTGTTTTTCAAACTTTAGCGTGTATACAATCTTAGGGCCTAGGATTCCACAGTTCTAGCAAGTGCCCAGGTGAAGCTGATCTTCTGGGCCCTGAATCACACTTTGAATAAAACACCAATAGGACCACAGAAATAAAGACTTGGTCCCTTCTTCAAAGGAGCATACGATCTAGTCAGGGAGAAAAATATCTATTCAAATAATATAGGGGAGGAACCACCAGGGACAGCTTTGACCTCTAGGTTTCAAACGGAACTCTAGTGCCTATTCCGTGCGGGAGAGCCTTGGGGGACCACATAGCATCTGCCCGCAGCAGATGGAGGCCACATTCCTTAGTTTGGCACTTAAGGCCCTTCCTAGTCAGGACTCAACCAACTTCTCCAGCAGCCCCAGCTCTTTGCCCGAAAAATCCCCCCATGTAGTTGCCCCTGAACTTGCTGCCATGCCTCAAAGGTGCTCTTCCTTTTGTGACCTTGTGTCTTTGCACATGCTGTTCCCACCTTCTCATCTATTCCCATGGGAGGCCTTCCCTGACTCCCCCAGGCAGAGTTGGGGCTCTCTTTCCTGCGCTTCTATCACATTCTGTACATCCATGGGTTACATTCGTCCTGCTGTGCTATGTCTCTCTCATTCCACATCTCCTTCCCCGGACAAGAGACTTGCTGAAAGGATAGATTGTGTTATTCATGTTTGTTTATTCTGAGATATGGCACAGAGTGTGCAGTCTATAAACATTTCTGGAGTGAATGAGTGGCTAATGGAGAAACTGTGGATAATGTAGGCTTTTAAATTCTATTCCAAATTTGATGACAGAAACAGCTCTTGAGTCGATGTGTGACCTTGTACAGATGGCTTAGCTTCTCTGGATCTTGAATGCACCATCTTTGAAGTAAGTGAATGGGGCTGAACGATTTTGAAAACAGCTTCAAACTCTCACACTCTGTGAGTCTTAGAGTTGATGAGTTTTAGAGTTTAAGGAGACTAGTTAGCTTTAGGCACGACTTGGGGATTTTCGTAGTTTCACTGGGGAGAATTCTATAAGCCACATTTTTTTTTCCAGAGTGCCCTTTAGATTCTTTTCAGTTTGTGGCTGGTCATCAAAATGAAATAAGAAAGAAGTCATGAAAAGAAAATCTATGGGCAAGATTCTTACAAAGTTTCACTCTCAACAAATCCATGTTTAAAAAAAAAATGAAAAAAAATGATAAGAAAGGGAAGGGCTGGGAATAAAAGACCAGTAAGAAAGGGAAGGGCTGACACCTACAATGAATAAATCCAAGACTCATTTGACATTGAGATGTCATAACCAACTCCTTATTGATTTGTAAAAAGAATGACTAGACCCCTGCTCATTTAAAATCACTAACTACCCAAACTCTAAATTTTTTGGTTTGAGGCAAACTTTTAAAAAATGATCAATCAGGCACATTCTTACGTTCAATTTTTTCAGAATGCAAGGGAGCTGACAAAACTCTTGCCTTCCAACTTTCTATCAAAGGACTAAGACTGAGAGCAATATCTGAAGCCAAAGAATTTTGAGGAAAGCTGCTGGCAACTCTCTGTAAAAGCTTATCACAGAAGGGCCGATCAGCCCCCTCCTCTAAGTTTTCTGTCGCCTGGAGTCTGGCTGCTAGGATGGGGTCAAGCCCCTACAAAAGCTGTACCTCCATATCAGCAGAGAATACCACATGGGGCGGGCGCTACAAGTTTGATTGCAAAATGCCTTGTCCTTCTGTTTGTAAAGTAAAGCAACCACACACGGCACCAAATCTGATTGGTTTTCCATCAGCACTTCCAAAAGCAATCTTTTGCTGGGCAGAGAGGCAACTTTCACCCTGAAGAACTTTTTCAGGAAGTTAGAAATTCAAACCCTTCCCAATATTTCAGAGGACAAAAGTCAAATGAGAAAATCTCAGATTCCAGCACGTTTTGTTTTGTTTTGTTTTTTCCTCACAGAACTAGATGGAAAAAAAAGTCATAAAAAATACAATGACAAAAAAAGCAGTGAGTCTTGCTCTCTATGTCATTTTTATTTAGAATTTTTAATATGTGGACATTTGACCAAAACTGCATAGCCATCCATAGTTGGTATTGCTTACTTTTCACATTGAAGTCAGGTCTCCATTATCTGCCTCTCCTTGCCACTCCTCAGGCCATCCTAGCTGCACTTTACCACACTCTCAGGACCTTGAACTTTCATAGAACCCTACTGGTGCACTTTCTCTGCCCCTTCCCTGTTCTGCATAACAAGAAGTCAGACAACTTGGTTGTGTAAATCTGACAAGTAGAAGCAAGTGTAGAATTAAAGACCAAACAAATGAGAATGCACAGAGCCTATTTATTTAGTTTGCTATAGCAAGGGAGTCGGCCATCATCACTTGTGTTTGACAGAGGGTGGGAAGGCCTCAGGTATGCCCGATTGGAGGCCACAGACATAGGGAAGCTATAGGTGGGCTAAGTAGAAGAAGGGATCCTACGTGATTCAGGAGGGTGAATATTTGGCTTTCTCTGGTTGGTCCTATGCTGGGTATAGTGATAAAGATTAGGGAAGCTGTCAGTTATCAATCAAGGTCTGGCTACTTAGGGCCATTTGTTACAAAAGTTATTATTTAGCTTCTTGGATCATTACTAGAGATAGCAGCCTGACTTCCTACAAGTCTAACTTATAGCAAGCTGGCTTCCTGAGCTGTTTATTGTCAATAAAGAGTTGATTTCCTAGGTGGGTTGCCACAGGCTGTGGCTCACAGTTTTGTCTTTATATAGTTGACCCTTGAACAATGTGGGAGTTAGGAGTGCTCACCCCCTATAGGCAGTTGAAAATCCATGTATAATTTTTGACTCCCCAGAAACTCAACTAACAGCTTATGGTTGACCAGAAGCCTTACTGATAACATAAACAGTTGATTAACACATATTTTTTATGTTATATGTATTAAATACTATATTCTTACAATAAATTAAGCTAGAGAAAAGAAAATGTTATTAAGAAAAATCAAGAGAAAATACATGTATAGTACTGTATGTATTCACTGAAAAAAAATCTTCATATTAGTAGACCCACATCTTTCAAACCCGTGTTGTTCAAGGGTCAACTGTATATGATTGTCCTTTTGTAATTCAGTCCCTCACAAGGAAACAATGCAGCTGGTGATTGATTCTAGTACCAGATTTTTCTTCAAAACTCTCCCAAGTCTCTAAAACAGCAACTTATCCCTCTTATTTTAGGGTTAAAAAAAATCATTGGATCGAAGCGATAAATTTGCTCATTACTATGAGAAATATAACTTTTAACTGGTCACTCAGAAGGCCTGCATTCTTGACCTTGAAAATAAATATCTAAACTCTGCTGAAGGTCCCTCCATCTCGCCTTCCTCACACATCCTTTTACAGAGTCTGAGATTCTGACAGTACCAGGGCATGACAGGAGTCTACAGACAGAAGAAAACTTTTTGGACTGTATGCATACACACGCCTCTGCAGGAGAACCAAGAATTGTCTGTATTCCACTAGAAGTAAACATATCGCTCCTGCCATCACACAAACACATTCCATCTTATTCGAGTCTTGGGAGAGGGGAAAGTAGCAACTGACTATTTTTATATTTTCCTTTCAGTCCATTTGTCCCAGAAAAAATATTATTCCTTTCTTTTCTACTCAAATGTTACAATTTTAACCCTGTAATTATCTTTTTGTCCTCTTTATATTCTCTAAACTTAGTATCTTCCTTTGATATGAAAAGAAAAAATATCATAATTTCTTAACTTGGTAAAAGGGAATGTTCTGCCTAAGGTGGGAGGCGGAGAATATCCAACCCAAGTGGCGTCCATACCGGCAGGTTTTCTGTACAGTTGAAACTGTCTGTGAGAAGCAACAGGCCAAAGGCTTCAGTCACGTACTTAGTCACCATCCTCTTCCTCTTGTCCAAGAGCCTTTTCCTGATGTATGCTCTTAACTTGGGGATTTCTGGAATGTCACAGGCACCACAAACAATTTTACAAGATCAGAGTTCATAGTAAATAGAATTCATAAATCTCACAGATCAAGATAGCAGTCTCAGTTAACTACTGTTGAGGTCCTGTGTGGGCTGGGTGCCCACTAAACCAACCTTTCTGAGAAACTTTTTCCCGGGTCTAGGATCGACAGTAATGAATGGTAGATCAGCAATGATAAGTATTAATTTTACTCAGCAATATAAAACTATGTAGAAAAGTGTAGGCTTGTTAAAAAATTGGCACTTTCCCCTGGATGAGTACTCACCTGAATAAACCCAATGTGCTCACATTTCTAGAATCTCAGCTCCTCTTCAGTTCCCCTAGATTTTCCTATATATATCAAATAACCCTTAATATCAAAATAGCAATGGGTGGGATTCTAGATTAGAAATTTATCTTAGCCCTAACCTTTTGTTATTCAGAATGTAACAGATGTCACTCTGCTATTTTCCCCATTATTCCTGTAAGTGTAAGTTTTCCTACATTACTTGTGTATGCCACGCTGGTTATTTCTCTCATATCCATGTCCAAAGAGTTCCCCCATTTCTGGGAACATCTCACACCTTCTGCTGTTTAACCTCCTTTCACACTCACCCATGTCTAGAGAAACGCATGCACATTTGAAGCCATTTTGAGCTCAGATCCGAGTCAAGCTCAGATTCTGCCTACTTACCCAGTGTTTACTGCTGCTGCAGTCACGCAGATCTGCAGGTCCTCTGAACTTGTATTGTACTCACAGCACCATTTAACTAAACCTTATTTTCACTCTGGCTTTTGCACATGGCCTAGTACTCGCTCCTCATCTAGATTTTAAGTCCTGTAAAGGATGGCGCCATGTCTTCTACTTTTTCCCCCTCACAGGCGAAGCATACAATAGATGCTCAGTAAATTCTTGTAATACCCATAGCTGGATGCATGACGAATCTCAAGCCGAATACTAAGGAAATGACAACCGGATCACTGACTTTCACCAACTCAGGATAAGACTTGGAGGAGAGAGGAATTAGGGTCTCTCACACCACAATAATGCAGAGAAAGAACAAATATATTTGCTAGTAGGTATAGAAACTGTGACAAGCTGGAACTGTGCCACGAAAAGTTCTAGAGTGGGAAATTCAGAGTGCTACGCTTAATCTTGAGAATTTTAGTGATTGAGATTAAAAAAAAAAAATTACCAGTTTCTTCCTCAGTGAGGAGAGCCTGCTGCCAGTATTCCTGGGCGCTGACTGTGTACACCAGATCTGAGGCTTCCAGGATCTTGGAGTCAGCCGGCAGTTTTCTCTGAAGTGAGAGAGGCACACGGGGGACAGAATAACTCAACCATGGCAAAGGAAACAAGCACAGGCCTCACGAGAGCCTTCAGCAAATTTCGACTCGCTCACTCTCAGTTCTACGAGAGCCCCGGAAAGAACAGACACTACTCTGTATGTCCACACCACACTAGGTCGGAAGCTGTGAGGAAATTGCTGCACAGAAACTATACTCTCGGGAGTTAAAAGATCTATTCTAGAAGGAAATGTAGAGAGAAAATAGTTCAGAAGTGTACTTCAATGTTCAGAGTGGGGAAAGTACCAGGATCCTTTTTGGGAAAAGAAGCACAGCTCTGGCAAAGGCAGTGATTGCACCAGCTCTGAGAGCAGACTCTACACAGCTCGTCTCAGTGCTGCCTTCAGTGACATCACACCGACAGCTTGAAACTGGCCATGGTGGGAGTATTTATACCATGGGAGTTGACAAGCTACATAATAGGTTTAGGAAAAAAGGAAAAAAAAACCAGAGAGCCGATTGTTAGACATTTATCAGCACAACACAACACAGTACTGAGCAATGGTCCTATAAAAGCACAAGTTTCTTAGAGGGGTGTTTAGCGAGTAATCGAACACATTTACATGTGGAATGATGTTTAAACAAATGACGGTTTTAAATATCAAAAAATTAAGAATCGTGAGAAAATCTCTTTTTCAGTCGAAAAACGACATCACAGAGAAGTCATACTAGAAGTATACATAAATACTGTTCCATAATCTTATTCTTCTCACTTAAAAAAAAAAGAGAGAGAGAGAGAAACCATAAAGAATGTGCATGGATATTTGGGGGTGGTAGAAAATAGTAGAAAGTTGTAAATTTCTTTGATGCAAAGATATAAAAGAGCTGAAGTGAGTAGTCCACTAAGAGAGGGGAGAGGCCACATCTCTGGCAAGTTATAAACCCAAGTAGTCAAGACTGGAATAGAGATACTGAGTAGGTTTCCAGAAGCCCCACACACCAGAGTCAAGGCTAAAATTATATAAGGGATCTGCCAAGATCCATTTTTTTTTCCTTCTTATAGTTTTGACTCTAGTGGGGCAAGTTCAGGGAAAATTGAAACTATATTCTACTGGGAGATAAAACTAACGTGGAACTAAATTTAAGTAGAATTTTAAAATTGTTAAAAGGCAGGAGTACACCTAAGCTGTGTCTAGGCGTTTGCGTTATTTAAAATCTTGCTCTAAATCTTGTATATCTTCTAAAGATTATGAAAGATTAGTTAACACTTATGCTTGTTATTGTAGTACAAAGAAATGTTTTTATAGTGTCGATGAAGTGACTACAGTATGCAAGTTCCATATTATCGTAAAAGAGAAATAGAAACAGTTAGAGCTGGAAGGTAGGATCCAGGAGGTAAATAGATATCCAGTAGATTATTCTATAGGATGATTAGTCACTGTTTTAATTTACACACATGATTTGTTATGATAATGTATAGCACGATATATTAAAGTTAGTAAGAAGATGTTATATATGGGAAAGGAGAAAACCTGAAAGCTCAAAAAAGAAGGGATAGCAGATGGAAGCAGAATCAAAAAGGATATAGTAAAATTGGACTTAGACTGAAATCAGTAAATCATGACCCCATTTTTGTAAAAATCTCTTTTCTAGCTTTGTCACTGAAGTGATTTTGCAGTAATGTCACCCCACCCACTTCTACTTGTATGAAATAATTTGATATGAACCCCTAGCACGCCAACTTTTATTTTTAATACTATTCTCTGCTAAAAGGAACCCAAGCTTCTTTGAAAATAGTAGGTCCATGTCTCGAGGCAGGGAAAAAAAGAAGAGGCCTAAAAATCTTATTGTTGCCAGAGAGCAAAATGTACTTTTTAATGTCTGGGTAATGCTAAAATGAACCAGCTTAAATGAAGGGTTCCCCTTGGCCTAGATGTGATCAAAAAATAACACAATAATTCTGTGAAAAGCCATGAGATCATTGTGATCCTCAAACTGAGGAAAACAGTATAAGGGATAGTGAAAGGATTAGATAGATAGATGGATGGATGGATGGATGGATGGATGGATGGATGGATGGATGGATGGATGGATAGATAGATAGATAGATAGATAGATAGATAGATAGATAGAATCAGTTGATCTGCTAGGAGAATCTTTTGTTCTAACATTTAGTCTTTAAACCCAGTTCCCAGCACATTCTCATTTCCTAAGTGATAAGAGCAATAGGAACATCCTTAGTTCTAGTTGGTCTTTGACCCTGGTTCCTGAAACAAGGCTCCTAATCCCTTGGAATTTCCTGAGCAACAGGAGTGCCTTTTGCTCTAATGAGGCAACTCTAGGTTGGCTTCTCGATGGGGGCTGATCACCAGAAAAACCAAGCCATTAAAACCTTGGAATTTTCAGCCCCTCCCTGCCTTCTCCAGATCGAGGAGAGGAGCTGGAAATGGAGTTAGGAATTGATCATGCCTATGTGATGAAACCTCCACAAAAAATCTCAATAGTATGGGGTTCTGAGAGCTTCCAGGTTAGTGAACACATCCACATTCCAGGAGGGTGACATATTCCCACTTCATGTGGACAGAAGCTCCTAGGCTCAGGACCCTCCCAGACCTTGTCCTGTCCTGACCGTCCACCTGTATCTTTTATTACATAATAAGCTAGTAAACATGAGTAATTGTTTCACTGAATTCTGTGAGCTGTTCTAGCAAATATTCAAATCCAAGGGAAAGGAGGTCACAGTAACCTCTAATTTATAGACAAGTTGGACAGAAGTTGTGGGTAACCGGGGAACCTACTACTTGTGATTGACATCTGAAGCAGGGGGCAGTCTTGTGGGATTGAGCCCTTAACCTGTGGGGTCTGACACTATCTCCAGGTAGTGTCAAATTGAGTTAAATTGTAGGATACCTAGCCAGTGTCACAGAGAACTGCTTTGTGTGGGGAACCCCACAGACACAGATCTGATGTCGGAAGTGTCAGTGTGGTAGTAGTGTGAGAGTAAAGGAGACACACACAGGAGGAGCAGCATAGGTTTTCTTGACGGGTGTGCTAAAACGAAGGTAAATTGCTGTGCATTGACCAGTTCAAATGACACTCCTGAGCACATCAAAACACAGCTCTCCTTAACCTTCTACACACAATTAGTCATCCAGACCTGTGGATCTAACCTCCCTAATATTTCTTGAATGTACCTCCTCTACTCTATTCCTACAGTGACTGCCTAGTTCAGACTCTTAACTAACCCTCCCAATGGTCTCTCTACATCCAATCTTCACTCGACCATCCCCTCAACCTTCCATTCTGCATATTGGTGAGAAATCAATCTTTCTAAAATGCATAGTACAGTTGACCCTCGAACAGCATGGATTTGAACTGTCTGGGTCCAGTTATATGTGGATTTTTTTTTTTAGTTGATCTCAGTTCAAACCGATGTTGTTCAAGGGTCACCTCTTGGCTTTGAGAATCTACCACCATATGCAGAGAGTCAATGGTATTTATATGCAGATTTTCAACTGCTCGAGTTGTCAGCAACTCTAACCCCAGCTTTGTTCAAGGGTCAACTGTATTTCCAAACAGAGATCTATAAACGCAACCTCCAGGTTCTGTAATTTTTCTTACAATATTTTTTCTTAATTTTTATTTTTATAATTAAAAAAATAAGCATGGACAGCTATATGACTGAGTACCTTATAGTCAACTTCTGCCTCATATTTTCTATGATTAAGTTTGTTCCAAATGAGAACATACAGTACAAGTAATAATTCAATTATTCACAATAATTCAAACTGAAATAAAGTGATTAGAGAATTAGGGCATCACTGAGCCATCAGAGGTGTAGGTGCACAGATCACGAAAACACTGTACCATAACAGTCAGAACCACAGTCACCCTACAGGCTGATGTATTATTGCCCACACCCCATCTTGTTGTACATACCAATTTGCCATATTAGCAATAAACATTATGAATTGTGTATTGAAGCATTATGTTTCTGCTTCCAGAAACACTACAATTAGGTACTCATAAAAATGTATATTTTTAATGCCAACAAGAATGATTAAAGAGAATAATAGCTTTAGTGAGTTATTGCCTCATTAAAACCGGCATTCAAGAATTGCATGGTAAAAGACTTTGGCTTACATATGAGGTCTGATTATTCTGAATTAGAACCAAAGCTTTGAAATTTTCAATTCCACATTTTCAATTCCACATTGTATATCAGACATTTTCTGCATCAGTATAATTGGAGTCAAAATACAGAAAGCAATTAAATATAGAAATGGACATGAGGCCATATGTTTTTACTATAAAAACCAGCACTGAAGATTTAGTTTCTGCAAAACCATAGTGTCTAGCACATTATACTAACTCTGATATACCATTTATGTTGTTTTGTTTATATTTTATCTGAAAATTGGTTTTAGTTTTATAGTTGTATAAGACTATTATAGTAAAAAGTTTTGTTTATATTATAGTAAAAAGTCACCTATTTTAGTGACAGAATAATAAAAATAATTTAAGAAAACATCAAGTATCCTACAGAACAATTACTCAAGCTTGAAAAATGTAGCTTAGGCCTTTTCTCCTAACACTCCTGCATACCCCCTTGCTGAGCCATTCAAACTTGCATCCAGCTCATCATACAGAACAAGCTTTTTCAATCATGGTCTTGCCTCCATCTCAAATGTCCTTTCTCCTACTTCTTCACCTTACTAAAGATACTGGTTCTTTAAAATTCTGCTCAAGAGGCTGAGACGTTTTCCCTGAATTTCTACCAAACACTGCCTCCCTGACTGCCAGTGTGACTAAAGCATTCTCCTGTGTTCCCATACTACCCTGTGCGTTCCTCTAGCCGAGAATACCTCAAACTGTTTGATGATCCCTGACTTGACCTACACATATTTCTCAGTAGACCATGTGTTCATTCCATGTTTCCTGCAATCATAGGAAGTAGATATTATTTCCCCATTTTACAGATGAGGAAATGGAGGCTCAGAGAGGCATAGTAATTTTCCTAAGGTCACAAAATTATTAACTGATAGGACTAAGTTAAGTTCAAATTGTCTACTCCAAAGCTTTTGCCTTTGTCACTACCCAAGACCAAATAGACATTTGTTTCTCAAAATCTGAGTAGTTGAAAAGCAGAAAAGTGCATACGGAAATCTGTTAACTTACCTTTAGTTTTTCCTTGAGACTTCTATTCCTTTGTAGTTTTATCATTTCATTTCTTTCTAAAACAGCCTCTCGCTGACTTTGAATAGCTTGCTAGATGGTGTAAGGGAATAAAAGCATGGCGAAGAATACACAGTTATCAAGAGTGATGAAGTGATAAAATGCATTTTTTTCCAGCAGATCTTCACTTGGCCCAAATAAACGTGCATGTATTTGAATTATATTATCATAAAAGTCTTATTTAAAAATAACTAGTCCATGCCTATGGCCAAACTCATCGAGATGTTGACATTAAATGTATACAATTTTTAGCGTATCAATTATATCTCAATAGAGCTTTAAAAATTAAAAATAACTAGTCCGTACTTACATTTCCCATTTTTCTTTCCCTGAAATGAAATTAGAAAAATGTAACAATTACTTAACTCACTACGCGTTGCAGTAGTCTTTCGACTTTTTCTGAAAGCAGTGTACACTGTCCTGCCTTCAAGCCTTTGCGTAAGCTCTGTCTTCAATCTAAGTTCTCTCTCTTCTGACCCACCTCCAGTGTCCATTTGAAAAAAGTGTCTTTACTTCTCAATGTTTTGTCGTCGGTGGAATTTTCTGTGACCTCAACTCCAGATGCAGTCAAAACACAGTCCTGTCTCTCTCTGGGTTCCCACAGCACTTTGCTAGTCTCTCTCATATAACCTTTAATCCTCGTCTAAGGCAGTGTGACCTTAGCGACGAAGCAATATGCCTCTTTAAATTGGCAGCTACCCTTCTACAGGGTTCAATAAACATTTAAGTTAGATTGCCTTATGTTTAGTTTTAGAGTTGGCATTGGAAAAAGAGAGTTTGAAATATTATTCTGTGGTAGGGCTTGGGGTAGATGGAATCGCAGGAAACGTAAACGAAGCTGAAATTCCAACCTAGACCATGAGAGCAAGAGCTAGGCGGGGAAAGCCTTAACCTACTGCTTTACTGAGCAAGTTTTCTCTGCTTAGTGAATTCCTGGAGACAGCAGACTCAAGTTTCAGTGGGTATAGGGGAAATGGTGGAGGTGACGGGTAAAGAAGCTCTTGTTAGAGCCAAAAACCATCAACAATGCTACATCCCTTGATCATACGCCTGAGTACCCAGCATAGCCCAGTTTATACCTGCTGATCCTCTGTAAGGGTTAATAACACCCCCTTTCACTTTCAAAGTGTCCCGATATGGAAGTTAAGCTATAGTCCTCCTAGTAACAGGGGATGGGGAAGAGGTCTACATGGAAATCAACATAAATTACAGCTACTAAGCTCTAAAATGCTTCTCTTTCATTATTTTTTTTTGTTGTTGTTAAAAATATGACTTTGTAAGAATGCTTTCACTTTTGGCCAAAGTTCTAAAACTTTGAGAGCTCTGTCCCAAATGAGTTTAAAATCTCAGAAGTAGACAAATCTGAAAACAGGACCTGACACTTCAAAACTTTACTGTGCCAAAGAGTATTCTAGAAAGTGCCTACTAGCTGAGAAGGCGTCTACATTTTCCACTTCTGGGGGCTGGCCAGGACCATTACACTGCACAACAGCTGGAGGTGCTGTTAGCCTCTCATACATGCAAGTGACACCCTGGGAACTATATAGAGGACACCTGTTGGGTGTTAAGCAGCTACTCTGGAAGAGGAGCCACAATGGTTCAGATTCCTGAGACAATCCACTTAAGGGTCCTGATGTCCCAAGAAGTCACGTAGACTTCTCTTTCATGCCCAACACTCACTTCCCTACGTCTGCAATGCCCGCTACATCCGGAAGTCAAAGCTCTGTCACTGCTATAGTTAAGACCCATGGAGGAAAGCCCACATCCCCACAGGCCTAGCTTGGTACCTCAGATATTCCGGCAAGTAGAGTTTGTCTGTCTTGGTGACCACCAGGGCAACGTCCCTGCAGAAACCTCGTTGGCAGGCTTTGATGCTCTCATTAAGAAGGTCTTCGTGGGCTCTCTCTCCAGAAACTCTTTCAATGTCACTGATCACCCAGATTACTGAGCATTTATCAATGGTCTGTGAAACGTGGCCACAATATGTTTAAGAACATAAATGGTATCTCATTAGTAGAGGACATGATTCTCAATGTATCATTCGTGTCCTCCACCACAGGCCCCTGTCTCTCTCTCCCACCCTACCTCTGCCCACTCCCCACTGCAGTCTCTACGAACCAGCCATGCTGAGCTTCTTACAGTTTCTCAGATGTAACTTTCTCTTTAATCTCTCATGGGCTTTGCATTTGCCACAATCTCTTCTTGACCTCCACTTGCCCTTTGAGATTGCTGAGGATGGACTGGCCACCCCTCCTCTGCATCCTCAAGCACCCAGCTGAGACTTTACAAGGGTGGCTCTCTGCACCTCCCTCCCCCATGCCTATTGTGAGGTACCTGATGGGAAGGGACTGCGTCTTTCAGCTTGGAATCCACATCACCTCAAGCACAGTGTGTGGCCATACTAGAGGCTTCCTAGATGTGTGTGGCATTGGTGATTGATAGAATTCAAGAAGTCAGACCTCCTCCCAGATCCATCACTGGCTTGTTCTACCACAGTTGTCCTCTAGGGGAAACGACTGTTTACCCGAAACTAGTTCTGGTCATGCATCGACTCCAAAGCTATCACCACGGGGCAACCTTTCCATGTTTGACTGTCCTACATAATGAGCACATTGCCACCATGTGGCAGCAGAGAGCCAGAAACCATATAATTCAAGTTGCAAAGGTCAATGAACATGAAATTACAACTTATGATTAATAGCATAAATATTGCTTTATCAAGCATGCATCTTTCATGGGACAAGTAAGCATGTGTTGACTTGTGACATTTCTCTTACTGTATTATTTCACTTGTCTTATCTCTCTATATAAATGAAAAGCTGGTACAACTCAGGGATGGAGTTGTGGTTTGTGGTTCTTCAGAACAGTGCTTTGCAGGAGGAAGAAAAGATTCCTCCTCAATGGATAACAACTCAGCCAATGGGAGCTGGCCATAACAGCCAATGAAAAGTCACTATACTTCAAACTTTTAGTTTCCTCCAATAGCCTCTTTGTAGACAACAGCCCCTCTCAAGTCCATAAAAGAGCTTTTTCTTCTTTGTTTCTCTGGAGTTCTTCATGGTCTGCCATTAGATCTCATGCCCCAAATTGCAATTCTTTATTGTTCCCGAATCCACTCATCTTGCTGGAGAAATATCTGGCTATTTGCTAAGGGCCAACAGTATTCCCCATGATCCTGGTGAATTACAGATGCTTAATAAAGGTTTATTAACATGAGAAGAAGACTGCGATCATAAAGGTTGCAGTGATTTAATTTCAGGCCCTACACAAAGCTCCTAACTGCCAGAATTTGGTAACATTAGAATCACAGAAGACACCAAAAAGCCAGTCTATAAGAAAAGAGCAACTGGACTTAGGAGTGGGTATGATGCCAGCCCCATCTCCCTCCCTCCCCCTGAACAGAACGGGCCTCAGAGAGGTCAGATGGCATACCTAAATTCTCAGGACTTCTAGGTGGCAGAACAGGGAGGACTGAATTCATAACAGTTTTAGCTTAGGGAAGGCCAAGCTGATAGGTGGAGAGATGGGGCAAGGATGTTGGCTCTGCTCTCCCTGGAAAGAGGGGAGTCTTTAGTAACTACTCGTGAGAGGAGATCTCAAAACCACAAGAATGTAGGGGAGCCAAGGCCAAACACAGCATGCTGGGAACCATCCCTTCCCTTCAGCCTGACCTCCTCAGAGTGGGTATTCTGAGCCAGATTTGCTGGTTCCTCTATTCTGAGTGGCCTTTGATAAGCTGCCCAGTGTATCTGAACTGGCAGCAACCACGGCTCCATCCAGTGAGAGAGGCTGGCTGCCTCTCTAGGCTGCTGCCGCTCTCTGGGCCTGAAACAAGCCAAGGCTGGCGTGAAACAAGCCAAGGCTGGCGATTCCACTCCAAGAACTGAGACCCTGCAAAAACAAAGGCTCTCATGGCCAGGCTGAGCGACTGACCAAGGAGATGGATGCCGGGTCTGCCTTCATCTTAAAGAACTGTTAAGAGACGTCCTGCGGAGGGAGGTGGGGGTGAGAGATAAAGTCTCGGCTGGGAAGATAGGAACCTACTCTTTGGTTTAAATTCTGTTATTCAATAGCTCTGTGGTCTTGAGCAAATGACTTCCCCTCTCTCAGTCTTCATTTCCTCATCTGTAAAATCAGGGCAAAGACTGATAATCTGTAAACTGGCATCCTGATCTGGATTGGAAACCAGTCACAAAGTTCCCTGGCCTACCGTCCTGCAGCTGCCACGCTGACCGTGTCTCCCTGATACTGGCCCTTCCTCCCAGTGCTCTTCCAGCTCCAGTCCTGTGTCTCTCGTGTTCCCACTGCGTGTGTGCCTGAGCTCCTTCTGCCCAAAGACACCTTTTCTTTCTCTATCACACACCCTGGTTCCTCTTGCCCTTCGAGCTTCCCTAGGAAGTGTAGTATTAAAGTCCACCCCCAGCTTTTCCAGGCTTTCTTCTGTGCCTCTCCCCTGTACACCCCTCTACTCCCTTCTCTCTAGCCACCCAGGAAGACTCATCCTTGCCCCAACACCCAGCTCCCTCAGCCCTCTGGATGTTTGCTAATGCTGGCCTGGAACAGTGTTCAGTGGTCCCACTCCCAACCGCTGTCTCTGCCTGGTGGAGGCTAAGCTTCGATGTCCTCTCTGAATCCTCGCTCCCTCCAAAAAGAATTCATAACTTTGTGCTCTCATTTTTAAGTAATGGTTTTAGTTAATTAATATGACTAATTGATTCCTTTTGGACTGTGAGATTCCCAAGGGCAAAGACTTTGTCCATCCGGAACCTACTACAAAATTGAGTAGATGCTCAGTGAGTGTTTGTTGAAGGAATGAGAGTTCTTATTGGAGGTCATTTCTACTTTCGAGTATCCACAGCACCTTATCCCTCCATTGCATCACTTTCTGCCATGTATTTAGTCATCTGCATGTTTTATCTGTCCTATTAGACTCTAAGCCATTTGCGGTAAGGTTCTGCTTCTCATTCAGCTTTGTTTTGTTTTTGCTCTCAACTTTTTAGTTGTAAAGGAAATATATTTTTAGTTGTAAAGGAAATATACGTTCATGCAAAATATATAAACAACAAGAGGTGTATGTAGTAAAGAGTGGTGGTAAACACAGAAACTTCTGATAAGAGTTGGGTAGTTGGTGTGTGTCCCGTAAGGCAGGATCTTACTTTTGCTGTGCATTTATAAACATTATACACACACGTGCGCACATTAAAGGCCATGCTCTGCATCTTTTCATTCACTTCATTTAGTTGTGTTTTATCATGTAGAATACAGTAGGAGTTAAGAGCAGAGAGGCTCTCGAGCCATCTTGTCCAGGTTAAAACTCCCAGTGTTATAATGGGCAACTTACTTCACTAAGAATAGTAGCTAGCACAAAGTAAATGCTCAATAAATATCTGCTCTCATTATTATTATCTATAATATTTTCATCCTCAGTGTTTAGCAGAATGTTACATATTATACGTGTTTGGCGACTGAACAGCAAATGAACAAAGAGGTAAATTCTTAAAAATACTTCAGCCTCTATTCACTAGGTGCAGATCAAACACTAATGCTTAATTAACTCTGGCTGTAGATACATCTGGGGGTGCCTGGTCAGCTCATACCCCATTTATTGGGAATTGAACCCCTATCCAAGTTTTTTGCTGAAGGGGTAAACTTTCATTTTAACCACCACCATCAGCCACAGCTGATTGTACTAAGGCTGGATACTTAATCCAGAGAAAGCTAATCCATTCACTGTGTAGTGATCAATCGGATTTTTCTTCTCAGGAATCTGAATTAAAACACATAGAGATTATAGTCAGACAGTCATAGGCACATGGACTCCAATATCATTTAGAGACAGGGCTAGGGTGGTCATTTTGCACAACGTGGATTCTCACGGCTAAGTACAGAAAGCTAAGAGAGAAGCAGGACTCGAGAGAGATGCATGAAGAGAGACAGTCACAAGAGTCCAAGCAAAGGGTGAGAGAAAAGAGAGCTGCTTCTTTCCTGAGAGGCGGCCCTGAGGCCTGGCTGGGTCTCATGGGATCCTTTGATATTCTTTTTGATTAATCTCTCTACACTTGGGATTGCTTTCCTGAAGTTATCTTCTTTACACTCAAACATGATAGTGGCCTCCTGGTGTCTTGACGGCTGGCTGTCATCTTCTCTGCTTGGTACTCAGCCTTTGGCCTTCCTCTCCCACTCCACCCTGGTTTGCTCTGCCTACTCTTAGGTTTCTCTCTTGCCGACCCTTCTCATAGACACACATTCTTGTTCTGGCTACCAGGCCTACCTCGTGATTCCTAACTCTTTGATTTCTCTGGCCACCCATATCCTGCTGATGCCCTGAGGCTTAGAATATAAAAAGCGAGGAAAAAATTACCTTACGCTCAAAGTGGAGAAAACTTTGTTGCTTTAGAAAGGGTGCAGGAATTGAGGGAAGAGGGAAAGAAGCCATATGAAAGAGAATCACCTTTTTCCACATTTCATCCCTCTTGGTGTTGAAGTCACCAGTGCCTGGAATGTCCACCAGCACGACCCCTTCTGGAATCAGCTCTGATTTGGGAAGAGTCACTTCTACGTGTTTTATCAAGGGCCAGATTTGTGTCTCAGCTGATTCTTCATCCCAGTCTCTCCTCTTAGTCCGGATGTAGGGGTCCAGTTTGACAGACAGCTCTCCTGGCTGAGGAAAGAGGAAGAAGTCACGCACACCAGACAGACTCCCAGCATTTCCATCCTGGATTGGCTGTGATTTAGGTTCACTGAAGATACACTGAGTAATGGTTAGAAGCAGCACTGGAAAATGGGCACCAGGAGGTGATCCAGTCTGCAAGGGCCTAGACTCTGAGGGCCAGAATGGATCTGGAGATCAGGAAGTTCAAGCATTTCAACTTATGGATGAAAACACCAGAGTCAGTTAGAATGGGATTCTTCAGCAAAGTTATAGTTTCTCCAGGTAATGGTTTATCTTCTAAATTTTGTTTCAGTTCTAAAATTAATGTAATTAATATGTAAGCTTCTATATTTTGGAGAGAGAGGATTCTTCCTGCATAACTAATGTGAACATTTTAATAACCAGACAGCCCCAACTACGGAAAATTGGTAGTAATATAATGAACATATTTTTCAAATTGAAAATTGGTCTGAAATTGATCTTTAAAAAGGTTTTAAATTTTGCCTTCCAAGTACAAAAAATATCTTGACATGTAGGAATTTCTAGCATGTTTAAATGATGGTGGGTAGGATGGGAAATAGTTCTCAGCCTATTTTTCCTAGCTAAGCATATCCTGGGACAATGACACGGTGATGCCAGCAACTATGTATGGCAGCAGATCTCTACTGGGCTACTTCAGGAGACAGTAGATTTGGGATGCGTGGTAGTCATTGTTCATAAATAACTATAGAATTGTCCTGGAAGATAGGAAATTCTTAAGATAGTTGAAATAAATCAGGAGATTTGTTGTAATCAGGGTAGGAAGTAACAGATTTTATTAATGCTAATCAAATAATAAATTGTAAAAGAGGAGATGATAAAAGTTTTTAAGGATATTTTAATTATAAAATAAATCAGATATAATGAGGGCAATGTAAAATAAAAAGCATGAGCTTGAAAACCCCCTTCTATAAGAAGAGAACTCAGCCCAATAAACTGGATCAGAGCAAACCATTCTGAGAGGCAAACTCAGATTCTCTCATCCTAGTCCAGAGTCCCTGACCCAAACTCTGAATTTGTGCCTTCGTTCACTGAGATGGTAATTCCGTTGCCCTTGTTTCAATGGCTAAATCTGTAACACTGGAAAGGAATATTTCTAAATACAGAGTAGTGAAGAAATAAATATTGTATCGATACCTTGGTGTAAGTTTTGTATATTCACATAAAGTAACCTGTTTTGCAATTATTGTGTTTCTTTGGACATGCTCAGTCTATGTTTTAGATATTAGGAACATAATTATTTTTCATAGTAATAGCCATTTAAATATAAGAAATGGCTACTACATTCTACACCTGAAACTAATGTAACCAATATAAGATGTTACAACAATTATACTTAAAAAATAAAAATAAAATAAAATGTTAAAAAAAATAAGTTAAATTAAAAAAAGAAGAACCACTACATTTGTTTGATATCCTAGTTATACAAAAGCTAAATGCTTTAAAAGGTTTCATTCGTTTAACTTCTAAGTGTGCTTGGTCATGTATTTTAAATTTTTTGAAAGAATTTAATATATTAAATTTGAATTATAATATAAAAAGTCTAAGGAAGATCACTTTGTAAGTTATAGAAATATCATGCTATACATTTAAAACTAATATAATATGGAAAGTCAACTATAATTGAAAATATTTGTAATTTAAAATTTTTTAAAGTCTAAGGGAAAAAAGTCTAAGGACATTTTATTAATTATGTAAGTAGCATAACTAAGAAGGATTTGCTATGTTAAACCTAGGAGATAATTGAAGATTATGTTTTAGAACAGGTGTAAGTAATTGTTCTTATTTTATACCAAAAAAAAATGCCAGATTTTTAAATAGAATAATAATATTTGAAAGATGAATTTTAAGATGCAAGAAAAACTGGGTTTTTAAGTGTACAACATTGATAAATTGAATATCTGCTCCACAAGTATTTTGGTTTAATTTAAAATTAAATTTTAATAATATTAATATCGATTATAAGTATAATATAAATATAATCTACTAATTACATATTGAATATCCACCCTGTCCTTCACCCATGCTAGCAGAATCCTGATTGTTTGTGGAGGTAGTGGATTGACATTGGGCTTAGCCAATCATGACAAGTTTGCTTCTTGCTTTCTCTAGACTCCCTTTCAGCTAGGATAGGCCACTCAGCTCTGAACAAGGAAATCGACACAGAAATTTGTCATCCGGGGGAGGGATGTTTCTGGGAAAGCTTTTTCTTCCCAGTAAAAGGGGAGATGCGGTTGGAGCCGCCTTTTTATCCATTTCTTCCTTAGCTGTGAAGTCCAGCAATTCAGTAGCAATGTTATGACTATGAAGGAACAAGTATGATGGAGGCCAAGGGAACCAGAGAGATGCTGATCTTGACATTGTGGAGCTACTGAACCAGCCCACAAACCCAACTGCCTCCAGACTTAGGTGAGAAAATAAATAAATCCCTATTTGTTTCAGCCATTATAAACTAGGTTTTTAAAAATCATTTGCTGCTAAAACATCTTTAACTAATTGTCAAGTAACTGTAGTCTTTTCGGTGCACAAAAGCTACCCTCCCTCCCGTTTAGACACTAAAAACTCCCATTTGACAGCTATAAATAATGAAAAATAACTTGGTCGTGGATATTTCTGATTTGGGTATCAACTTATTTCCAATAAAAACATCATACCTTGAATAAATCCCCTAAATGGAGTCGATTGTTATACTTAAGACTCATGACAAAAAAAGAATAAATATCTTGACGCTACCTCTTCTGCCTTGAGGGTGATGACTCTAGAGGTGGGGATCTTCCCTTTGGGTTTTGCCCTTAGTAACTCCTCATAGGTCTTTCTTTCCGCCCCATTTCCATAAAGCATCTGTAGCTTCCAGATGGCTTCCTCCACTGCGTCACCCCTGTCCCACACAGCTGCCTCTTCTCTGCCCGGCTCCTCCGTCTCGTGCAGGAGTTTAGTCAAGTTCTTCAGCTCCTCCTTCCACTCCTGCAGAACAGAGTAGGGCCAAGCCGGTCATGACACAGACATGGAAAACACTGACAATGAGAGAAGGCCACTGTCCCTGTGGAGGGCAGGGGGGCTGCGTATTCAGGAAATCTAAAATCCCGTAATCCAGCAAAGGCTCATTTAATCCAATTCCTTTATTTTGTAATAAAGTCTCATAATGAGTTGCGACAGGACGCAGGCCAGAACCCCTTGCTCTATTAAACTTTCTCATTCAGTACTATGTTCTTTTACTAAAAACGTAAGCTATATTTACAAGAAATATAATGTTAATCTCTGAGAGAGAGGGAGAAGGAAAGAAAGAAAAGGAAGGAGGGGAGGGAGAAAAGAAAGAAAGATGGAGGAAGAAAAGAAGGAAGGAGACACTTACCTGGTCAGAGAGAAGATGGATTTTGGCTTCATACTGCTCACAGCAGCCTGAGCTCACTTGTACAATACACGAAGTACATATACTTTCTCCAGACACCGGTAGAAACATTGCTTGCTGGATGATGGCATTGATCAGGGAGCTCTTCCCAGCCCCAGTGCTTCCAAATAATCCAATGTAGATTGGGTCCAATAATGGTTTTTCAATTAAAGTAAGAAGCCTGTTTCTAGATCAATTTTTAAATGCACATTGCCATGGTCATCAAAGCATAGTGGGAAGAACATCAGAACAGAATACAAAGGAACTGAGTTCTAATCCTAGGCAAGTCACATCTTTCTGTGTCTCTGCTCTCTTCTTGGTCAAAGAAGAGTATTAATCTCTGTTTACTAAACGGAGTTGTCATGGGGAGCAAATGAGATTATGCAAAAATACTTGGTAATTCTACACACAAAAAAATGATAATTTTACACAAACTCTATGTCTATATAAGTACCAAGCAATCTTGTTTGTGTTCTGTGGAAATTACTTAGTCTTGACCCTAGAAATAAAGTTTATGCAGAGGTAAAGGATTATTAAAAGCAACACACCGTCTTATTGAGGAGAAGATGCAGCCTCGGCACCACTCAAGTCCTTTAAGTCAACTCAGCACAGCAGTTGAGGGCACAAGCTTAGAGTCGCACAGCCTCAGTTGAATTTCGGCCCCTTTGACTTACGCATGGTGTGACTTTGGTCAATGTCTTGGCCTCCCTGAGCCTCAATTTCAGTAAAATGAAGATGATAATAATAGCTTCTACATTATAGCGGTATTGGGCCAATTTAATGAAATTTGATATATGTAAAGTATTTATCAGATTGCCTAGCAACAGTTAACAGCTCAATGAATGGTGACTATCAGTAATAATAATAATAGCCCATAATTATGGAAACTTTCAGCCTTCTTTGCTTAGTTTCTAATCGAAAATTCCCTTTCATCGTTGGAAAAAAGTACCTACAATCACCTAAGGAAAGACACCAAAGTAAGATCTGATGGTAGCTAATATCAGACTTACATAAGATACTTGACTCCATTTGGAATGCTGTCATCCAGGAAGACAGACTGAATAAGTTTCTGATAAGTGTTGCTCAAAACTCTTCTGGTCCGTGACTCCAATTTTTCATCTGGAATCAACAGAGATGTATTACCTAGGATGTACCTGGCAGGGATCAAGGACTAGATCTCCACAGGAGAAGTCTGCTCAATATTGCAGAGAAAGATTTTTTTTTAAAAAATGAAATGAAGAGCCAATTAAACAATATAGTAAGTTATCTGACACTAGAGACAATAGCTCGTGGGAGATAGCAATCATTGATTCTGACAGCCTCCCAGGGAGCCAGCCTGCTCTGAAACTCCTTTTAACAGAAATCAGCATAGGCTTTGCCATGGCTTTAGCCCTTCTAGATTCTTCTCTCCTGTGGTTATAAAAAGAAAAGAAAAAGACTAATATATTGTATATGAAACTAATATATTGTATATCAACTATACTTTAAGATTAAAAAAGGAATAAAAAGCAAAAAATGCAAGGGCACCAAACCAACCATTTTCACAGTCTCTGTTCTAATCAGGAAGAGGTTATTTGGACAACAACCCTCCTCTTTCTCCAGAGACTCCTAGAGATAAACCAACAAATTTTATATCTCTGCAGAGACTACATGAGCCCTCCTTTTCTAGATCAGGGTTCTTCGAAGATGTTTTATTCTGCTTCTGAATTTAACCTTCTCTTCCTGTGAGCATTGTAATACATTTAAAAAAGAACAG